CGCTCAAGGTACACCTACCAAGGAGGGCGGCCCGCACGCATCCCCTCACTCTACCCTCGCAACGACCATGAGGGTGTGGGGGGGCACAGCTTGGCTCCATTGAACAGACAGGAAGCAGAGTTTCTAGGAAGTCAGGCAGCTTTCCCAAGGTTGCAGGTACAAGGATAAGTGCTCAACCTGGCCGTCTGGCTCTGGAGGCTGGCTCTTAACTGCAGGGCTCCAAGAGGTTCAGCAACTCTCCTGGGGTGACACAGTTAGAGAGAGGGAGCCCGCACCTCCACCCCAACACCCTGTCCTGTGCGCTGCACTGAGCCTGGCCTCAGCCTAAAACAAAAGCAAAGCAGGGGCACTTTACGGAACACTGCAGGGACCTGCTGGCATTCTCCTGCGCGTCTCCTTTGGCTTGAGGTCAGCCCTGTGCATTTTTACAGAGCAAACTGGAAAGTTAAGTGATATCCGTGTCCTGACAGCACTCCTAACAGCCAGGGTGGGGCCCTGGAAGGCCAGGGAGGGCTGGCACGGAAGCACGGCCCTGAGGCGTCACCTCCACCCGGGGGGGGGCCTCAGCTTCCTCATCTCTGAAGTAGAAATAATGAACGACTGGCTCACTGTGGGGTGAGGTGGGCCATACAACCGGGGAAGCTGAGAAGTGATGCAAGCCAGGACAGAGAAAGTGAGATCAGCAGAGGAAGCTAAAGGAGAGATGGGGACAGGCAAACCACAGATGCATCCCCGACAGCCGTGGGGAGATGGCCAGCCTCGGCCAGCACGGGGCTCTCAGGCTGTGCGCCCAGGCTTCATGGTGCTCAGGCACTCTGAGAAGCAGGGAAGTGTCCTCTGTGCTTCAGACTCATTTCTGAAGCATTCTTCCTTTCTATTTTAAGACAACACCAAAGAAAGAGCAAAACCAGTCCATTACAGCGAGAGCCCCTTAATTCGGCCAGCTGAGGGGCTTCCTCATCCACATCCCCCCACCAACCCTGACTGTGGATCAACTGCAGTCGATGCATTGGACAGCACAGTGCCCAGCAAACAGCTAATCTCTACTCCAGCTGGCTGCGTTTCCAGGGCAGACACCTGCTGTTTGGACCTTTCTACAGAACCCAGTGCAGTGTTCAATGAGGATTCAGTAACTGTCGGGGACCATACCATGCTCACCCCAAAAGTAAACGCACTGGAACACACAACGCACGATCTGAAATCCTCTGCTCCCCATGGCCCAAAAGTCCTGGTCCAGATGACCAGCCACGCACACTTCACCAGCCGGTCTTCACCTACAGCCCCAGTCGCCAGGTGCCAAGAATTCATCCTGTCAGTCAAGATATTCTTTATCACAGCCTGAATGGACACGCTGGGTCCTGAGGGGACTATGAAAGGCAGGGGACTGGATGCTGCAGTGGCCCTTGCTGGGGCCAGCATTGCCCCATGCTGTGGGCACCAAGGAGCCTGGGGTTGCAGGCCTTCCTGCTCTGTCCACTCCACGTTTCCCAAGATGGCAGTGCTGGCATGCGAGAGGCCTCTGCTTGTGGATGAGCGCATGCACACAGCAATGCTGAATTTCTCCAGGCCAATGATCAAAGCCGACGTGCCATGCCACCCACTAACCACAGAATCCTGAGTCTGGACTCCCTCTCCCGGGGTGTGGCCAGCATGGTGGGGAAGAGAATCCCTGAAGCACTGTGGTCACAGAAGGACCTGAGTCTGGCTCGCCTTGGCTGCCACGGGCCAGTCCTCAGGCCAAGCACTTCCTGGTCAGACACACATGGCCAGCAAGGTGGTAGGAACCAGGAAGGCAGTGCAGAGCAAGGGCAGACCGGGAGGGCTTGGTCTCTGGGCACATCCAGACCATAGCAGGACACTGGAGCCCACAAGGGCAGCACGTACAGCTCACACCTGCACCAGGTGCCCCTTCTGTCTCCCAGCAGCTCAATTAAATCAGGACAGGGAGACAGGCGGCATCTGCTTTATTTGACCTCTTGCCCTTTGAGGTGACCCAAACTAAAGTCAGGAGCCTGGCCATGACTTTCACTTCAAGTCGAACTGCTGGTAAATGGATCCCAGAATCCCAGTCCCACTAATCCCTAATTCCAATCCCTGTGGAGCCAGGTAGTATGCAAATTAATAGAAACATCTGTTCCCTTCCTGCCCCAGTAGACATCAGACTGCAGATGGCTTAGAAAGGTTCCCTCTGCTTGTTTTAACACACAGGCCATGGCAACATGAGACGCTGGTGCAGATGAGGATGCGGGAAGGAGAGGAAACCAGATCCTGCACCTGCGTGTGCTGAGCCCACATCTCAGGGGCCTGCGGGAAAGTGGTGGAGAAGATGCCCCTGGCCCTCTTGGGACACAGCAGCAGCTTTGCAAAGCTCATGGGCCCTGTGGGCTCCCTTTTTAGAACTCCCAAGGAACACCAAGGGCAGCTTTGGACATATTACCCACAAACTACAGGACACAGGCCAGACCCTTGTGGGGGTAGGTGCTGGCCTGGCAGTTCCAGGGCCACCTCTGGCTGGTGATCAGGAAGAAGGGCCCTCCCTCTGGTTGATGGGGGTCCCCGACTACAGTGAGAGTGGCCTTTGCTCTTCTAGGAGGAAGGAGACAAAAGACCTACCCAAGTGATACACAAGGGCCAGGCCGCTGCTCCTCAGTCCTCTCCTTAGGGGCACCCCTCAAACCTGCCGCAACTTCCCTTTGAGCCAAATTTGTTTCACAACACAACTTTCGACTGTTCACATCGCCAGTAGCCGCTCAGGGTGCCAAGGAGGGACCCCAGCTCTGGGCCAGAGTTACCACAATTTGTCGTTGGTGACAAACAGGGTGAGCTCCCCGAGTCTTAGCACCACCATGACAACCTGCCTGGTGTCCAGGATGTTTGAGCAAAGAATAAGCAAGACTCTTCCAAGAGCCACTGCTTGTGGCTTTACCCCCTAGATGTGCACACACACACGGAGCACAGCCACACTGGCCCGACACTGAGTTACCATGCCCCTCCCAGGCATTTCCAAATAGGAGGTGCTCAAGAAGAATTTAGCCCAGGTCAGGAGTGGAGTTAGGGTTGAGACCAAGGTTGTGCTTTTCCCCATAAGGAAAATGCACCAGCAGCCCCCGTGGCTGTTCCTTGGGGAACGTTCCCAGGCACAGGCTGTGGAAGCTTCCAGGCAGTGGGGTAACCATGGGGGCAGATGACTGCACGGTTACGGCTCCAGATACTACAGCACCCATTCCAGACCACAGTCTCAGCCGCCGATGAGAGCTAGCGTTTGTGTGTGTGTGCACACCTATGCGTGCAGGTGAGTGTGTATCCACCAATATGTGTGTGCATGTATAAATGTCTACATGTGTGCACGGGTGTTATGTGTGGGTGTTTATGTGGAAGGGAAGCATATAAGTTCACAAGTGTGTGCATGTGTGCACAGGTGCATATGTGTATATGCATGTGTGTGTGCATGTGTATGTGCAGCTGTGCACCTGGAGGGGTGTGTGTGTAAATGCACGTGTATGCATGTGTATGCATGTGGAGGGGGTGCATATAAGTGCACATGTGTGCACAGGTGTATATGTGTATACGTGTGTGTGTGTGTATATGTAGGTGTGCATGTGGATGGCGGTGTAAGTGCACGTATATATGCAGATATATGTGTGTGCCATGTGTATGTGTGAGTGCACATGTGCATGGGAGTGCATATGTGCGGGTGTGCATGTGCTCAAGTGTACATGTAATGTGTGTATGTGCGCACATGTGTGCATGTGTGTGTAGGCTGATGTGGCACATCTAGATCACACGGCCCTCCAGAAGCTCAGCAATTTTTAAGACAATTCTCTGTATAAAGTTGTCTGAGTTCACTGTGATTTTGAACAAGACAGTTCTCCCCAGCCAGTTGCTTATGGGTGTCTCCTCCAGGATTCCCCGCACATCAGTGCCCTTGCTCTGAGGCGTGTCCAGGGCAGCCAGAGGGACTCTGGAGGGAATGTGGAGTGTGGTGGTGGGTGGGCCACTGGATGGGAAGCAGCAGCGCAGGGAGAAATGGCGTGGGCACCATCGTGTGGGCACCTTGGGCTCACCCATGCACACCTGCCACAGTCCAGAGGAGGTCTGAGGACAATGGCACAGGAGTGTGACTGCAGGGTCGCCCTGTCAGGCACTTAGAGAGCCCCTTCCATCTCCGGCTGCAGTCTCTGCATTCATAAAAGGGAAACTTGCCCAACTCCTGCCCTGTGCATGGCACTGTGAAGGGTCTTGTCAGAGTTAAAGGCAAGTACTTACTAAATATTGTACATTATTTTTAAAATTTTTAAATCAATTTATTTTGTTTTATTGATTGACTGGTTGCTTGTAGAGACAGAGTCTTGCCCAAGCTGATCTTGAACTCTTGGCCTCAAGCAATCCTCCTGCCTCGGCCTCCCAAAGCACCAGGATTACAGGCATGAGCCACTGTGCCCAGCCTTTAAATGCTTTGCTTTGGTTACTTCAATTTACAAAAAAAACTAGTGGAAATGGAGTCTAGAAATAGAAGGTATCTGTAGAAACAATGGTAATGAAAGTACTCAACAATAGTTTATTCTGGTTCTGAGCTCTGGCTCTTTCTTTCTCTTGAAAGGGAAATTAGCAAACATTGCAGAGATGCTAAAAATATGCTAGCACTAAGCTAGCACTCTTCCAGGACATAATCAGACATTCAGAAGCCAAATGACATGGGAAAGAAAAACCTTGTCATGAGGTGGGTGGGTATTACTCAGACATTCCCTGGACCACTGAGAATCAGCTCACACACCACTAGGCCATCTTCTGAACCAGGTAGGGCACACTCACCATTCTCCACACTTCTGATGGGGGGCGGGACCCAGTGCCAGGTAGCCAGGGGCAAACCCCGCTCAACCCCAAAGGGCAGTTCTGGGGTGGCCTCCATGCTAGTTGAGGAACAGGGAGCACTGCACATGGAGCTGAGGATAGAACCCCAGAGAACCCAGGGATGCCTGCCCTGGCCCGCGGGATGTTACCTGGGTGGCAGCAGCGCATGACAGATGAGCAAGGTCTCCAATCCTGGCCGCGGCTCGGGGATCGCTGGAGCTGATCAACACTGGAGCACTAATTTCCATGGAATGCCTGTGGCTGGCAGCCTGGGAGGATCTGTGTGTCACACTGAGCGCGGTGAAGGAGTGGCGTTTCTTGGTGTTCTTCTTGCCATCCACACGCCGCTGAAAGGCACTGACCGCCCCTGAGCTGCTTAAAGTGGGACTTGGGGCCATGCTGGCCACAGCGCCAGAGTCAGAGGGCAGGGAGGCATTGCAGCTGGATGCAGCGGCTGGGCACGGCTTGTCCATCTCAATGAGCTGCTTGGCGGAGTCGTTGAGCTGAGTGAGAAAGGGGAGAGCGGGGGCTTCATTAAATCATGGTCACGTGCCACACCAGCCCTCTGCACTCTCCAGGCCACGTTCCCATTCACAACCTGGCAATGTGTTCAAATCGGTCAGACGGCAGGGAAAACACAGCAGAGGCTGGTGGGGTGGCATAGGTTTTATTGACAAGGTTTTTGGAGCAGCTCAAAAACCCCAGGAGCCATGACGGAGAGAGGGGACTCATAGAGAGGAAAGTGTTTTCCAAGGGCCAGTACCTTGTCTCCCCAATCTTTTCAACTGCTGGCCATTTCTGGCATGCATGGTGCAGCCCTGCAGACAGTGAGGGACCAGGGACAAGACGGGAAGGAAGCCCCGCATCAGAAGACGTGGGCTGGCCCTGCATGCTCCACAACAGCAGGTTCCCGGCCTGCCCTGAGCACTGCAGGTCCCCGGAGGAGATTTCAAAACATGTGACTGGAATGCACTTTCTAATGGCCGGTGACCAGCTGTGGCAGGGGAGTCTGCTCTGGTCAGCATGAACCACGGAAGCTCTTTTCAGTAACCGCCTCCCCTCAGGCCGTCAAGCCCCAGAAGCTGGCCTTGAGTGCACCCCAGAAGTGTCAATCATCTGTCATCTTGAGTGATTTGGCGAGTCTCAGGACATGAATCCTTCCCACATCTCCCACCTGTTCTACAAGATAGCAGGCATTTTGTGCAGCGAAGAGTTTGACGAAACTCTGATCCTGGGTGGTGCTTATCAGGAAAGGTGGCATGAAGATTCAAGTCCATGAGCAACTGGGGAAGAAATCCTCCTGGCCGGCTAAGCCACATCCTTCCTCTCAGAGCTGCAGCATCGCCTGGAGGGGCTGGGAGGGGCAGCCCAGGCACACCCACTGGGGGAAGGTCCGTGAATTACACAGCCTGGGGAGGTACCAGCTGTGAGAAAAGGCTCCCTGGGCTGGTGCTTGGGGCCTGGTAGGTCAATTCACCACCTGTGAGTGACAGTGTCCCCTGATCCTACACCTGGAGGAAGTTTCCCACTCGGTTGCCCAATGGAGCCCCTTCCTCCTTAGGCTGTACTCGGCTCAGCCTAAGTGCATACCTATATGGGGAGCTGGCAGTGATTTGAAAGAATAAAGCAGAGGGAACTCTTTACTGTGTACACAGAGGTGGCTGAGAAGAAAATATGATACTAGAGTCAGCATGGGATGATTGCTACAAGCTGGGTTAAGCAAATGCCATCAGGCTGGGTAAATGCCTGTGAGCTTCCACTCTTTCTCCCTCACCTTTCCAGAAGTAGCAGAAGGAACTGAGTAAATGCCAGCTGCCCTCTGGGCAGACCTCCCTGGAGGAGCACAGAGCTCGGGGCAGGAGGAAGCGGGAGCCGTCTCTGAGTTTTCTCCTCACCAAGCAGAAACTGAGCAGGGTGGGGTGGTTGTGTGCAGGGCTGGCACATTCTGTCTGCCAGGGTACTGTTTTGGGTTTGGGGCCCACAGGGTCTCTGCAGCAGCATGACTGGGCTGTGTGCTGTAGGGCACCACAGAGGCACCTAGGCCAGTGGCCAAAGGGCTTTCCAAAAACTGCAGGTAGGCCACTGAGGGGCAGTTTGAAACCTTCATGGGAAAAACGGGACTCAGCAGTTGTCGGGAAATACTTACAGGATTCAGAAAGGAAGAGGAGAGAGGCAGTGAGTCAGTGAAATCCATGAAGGTGGGAAGACCATAGCAGGCAAGTGAAGGACCACATGAGCCACTGTGGACGTGCAGGCTACCTGGGGCAGTCACATCCGCTCTGTGGCCAGCCATGGGTGTACACTTGGCATAGGCTAAGGATATAGGCTAAGCCCTGGCATGGGAGGCCAGCAGGTGCCAGGAGGGGCCTGTCCCCTACACCTACCAGGAGTTGAGTCTGATGTCAGCCTCGTCTAGGAGACTCCCCTCAATGCTGTGAACCAGTGAAGGGAGACGCCAGGTCTCACCCAGATACAGAGCTAGCATTTGCAACTGGTAGCACCTTGATGAGTTAAAAAAACAAAAACAAAAAACCCAGAAGCCCTGCTGAGTTTAAGTGGCATGAGAAAGGGCGGCCCCATCACAGGGCTGCTCCAGGCAGGCCGAGCAGATCACAGGAGCAGATCACAGGAGCAGAGGAGCAGGACGGCTGCAGGTTCCAGCTACCTTCAGACCCGGCCCAGGCACATGGCTGTCAGCGTTTCCACTACAAATATCTGCCTTTCAGAGGAAGGTTACGAAAAACCTCACTCCGGGCTCCAACATGTGTGATCTAAATCCAGGATTATTTCCTTTGAAATGTTTCCTCCAACCAGGCTCAGCTGTTTTGCTCAATTTTATGGCTGTATTCATTTGCTTCCTCCTAAGCGCTACTCAGAGAACAAACCAGTGCCTGTTCCCTCCCACAGCCCTCCGTGGGGCTCTCCAAATACCTGAGAGCCAGCTTCCTGGACCCCAGTGTTCTCTGCCCACTTGACAGGGTCTAGAGGAAGACAGAGCAGCAGGGCACAGTGAGCGCGGTCCTCCATTCATCTCACTCACTGGCATGGGAGCACGTTCTAAACACACCTGCCACGCACCTGCATTTGGGACATCATTACACAGCAATCATGGCAGCAATAATGCTGAGGCCAGGCTCAAATGATTCCCTTTTCCCCAAAGGAACAGGCCTGGAGTGTTTCACTTAGTCCCCCTGTGACTGTTGAGTTGGTACTGAAAACTGTTTTCAAAATCAGGAAATCCAAGCACCAACAGGTTGTTGTACGCACATCCAGAAAAGATGGGGCCCTGATCTGAATGTCAGCGTAGACTTCCAGGATCCCTATTCTCATCAGGGGCCACAGCAGCCAGGAGCACGGTGCCTGGCCCCTCAGCAGTGCCACATGTCACTGAGCACTGGGCGGCCACCAGCACGTGTCCCTGAGAGGCTGCTCACAAGTGACCGCACCGTGCCCCCTTCACAGCAGAGACGGAGACTGAGGGTGGGGAGGCAGCATGCATCCCTCATGCCTTAGCAACCCCAGCCCAAGGCCGGTGCTGAAAGTGAAGGCAAAAAGCTTCCATCAAGATAGGCAGCTTCAACAGATGGCAGGAGAAGTAAGAACTCCTGCCTCAAAGAAGAAAGTCCTCAATGCTTCATCCAAAGCTTCAGCATCCCCAGCAACCCTGCAGCAGCCAGGCAGGCGAACCGCTGCCAAGGGGTCTCCTAGGAAGAGGAGTGGTTAGGCTGTATCCTGTTGACTCATCTCTGCTTCTGAGCCAAGGGGCTTCTCCATGGGCCCGTTTCCTCCTGCCCTGTGCAGTCTTCGTTCTGGAAGTACAGAGTGGACTAACCCGGAGGGCCTTAACACGCTGATGCACCTCTACATGCATGGGACTGAGGGGTCATTTTCCACCCACCACTGGGGACCAGGTTTGCCAGACTCACACAGGCCATGGAGTCCCAGGCACTGCTACAGATCTGTGACTTGATCCTGGGACAAAACTCACCATCTGGGCAAGTTTTCATTGTCTGCACAACAAGCTCCAATTAGTCACGTCATAAAGCTGGGCCTAGATTTGGCACCAGTGCCATCCCAATCAAAAGGCCCCTCACCAGCCACACACATCCTTGTGGGCCCATGGTCACGGGACGCCCTCGCCTGCCGGTACCTGTGCGGGACGGCAGCTCTCGTGCACCCATTAGGAGCAGCCGCGCTTTCCCAGCTCCTCACTATGCAAGCTGGTGCAGACTTGTCTCGCACACAGGCCTCCATGCTGCAGGGAAGCCCGGCGGCTCTGCCCTCCCGTGTGGTATGGATTCGGCCCGAGGGTGCACCCCTTCCCAGCAAGGTGCCATCTGGAAAGGAAAGGACTCCAGTGGCTCTATCTGCATGTGGGGTCACCTTGTTTGTTCATCAGGTGGACACCGCCCTCCTACATGGATGTGCACACACATAACCAATGCACCCAATAACTACACTTTTCACGTTTTTTAATGGAAAGAGAACACATTTTCATCTTCCATACAAAATGGAAACAAAATGATAACTCAATATTTTAAACGTCTTGGCAACTTTATCTATTCATCATGAGGACTGCTGCTGGTACCTGGGCAGGAGTTTGCCCATCCCAGGGCCTGCCCCCGTTCTGGGGACCCTCTGCAGGGGCTGATACTCCTGGGAACATGAAACTGGATGGGGTGGGAGATTAGCTCAAGTGAGCAGTGCAGTCTTGTCCATGGGACAGTAAAGACTGGGCCAGGGATCACCATCCCACAGGGGACTCCGCTCATCACCCTATGGCCTCCGTGACATCGAGTGGCTGCCTCCTGGCTCAGCAAAGCCCCTCTGAACACTTTGTCACCCCAGCTTTCTTAGGTTAGATGTGATTTTCTTCCACAACCACTTTCTAACCACAGAACTGTCTAGAAAGGTAAGAAAAGCTGAAGCGTTTCTTCCATCCATCCTTTAAACAGTTCTACAGAATGGGCTCTTGGTTTAGAGTGTGCTGCAGCCTTGTGGCTGCGTCCGAGGGTGGGGCTCGGACTCTCTCCCCGCAGCTCCTGGAGCCATGGGTCTCCTAACTCCGGTGGGGAGGTGTGGCCAACCCGGGGATTTCAGCACTGGGTCCATCACAGCGCCAGAGTATAGTCACCCCAAACCCCTGGGTCTGATTGAGGAGACTTTAAACTGAATGTATGCAGGGGGATTTTTTTTTTTTTTTCCCTTAAAAAAGGAGTAAGATTGGCAAGCCAGTCATGAGGGAGGGCAGCAGCTATAACATCAAAAGAAGAGCAGTGGTATGGGAGGTGCCCAGCTAAGCAAGAAAAATGGCGCAAAATAGCTGTGTCCCCTCGGGCCCCTGCCCTGACCCAGAGTGGAGGAAGAGCAACCTCAGCACCGAGCGACAGGGCTTGTGAGCGCGATACAAGGGAGGGAACGTGTCCTGAAACCCACATCTTGGTGGAAATCCAGGAAGCCAAGGGTGCAAGCAGGAGGGCAAGTGCTCACAGTTTAACAAGAA